GTGGGGGGTGCAGGGTGGGGGTGTCGGTGGCTGGACCCCAGGGCCCCGTGGGGGGGGGTGCAGGGTGGGGGTGTCGGTGGCTGGACCCCAGGGCGCTGTGTGGGGCAGGGTGGGGGTGTCTGTGGCTGGACCCCAGGGCCCCATGTGGGGGGGGCAGGGTGGGGTGTCTGTGGCTGGACCCCGGGGCGCTGTGTGGGGCAGGGTGGGAGTGGCGGTGGCGGGACCCCAGGGCCCTGTGGGGGGCAGGGAATGGGGCCCCGAGCGCCCAGGCTGGCCTCTCCCTACCTGCCCGTTGTTGAGGGCGGCGTGCCGGGCCGAGCAGCAGTAGATCCACATGGTCAGGTACTTGATGAGCTCAGGGATGCTCTGCAGGGATGAGGGGAAGCCTGCGGGATGGAGAACAGGCATCACGGACCCAGCCCGGCCCTGCCCCCTCCACGGCCTTGGTGCTGGGACCCCTAGAGCTGGGTTCGATGCTTCCCTCTGCCAGAGCCTCCCCCGGTGAGTCGCTCCCTTGCTCCGGGCCTCAGCTCCACCCCGCACCAGCTCCCCGCCCTGCCCGTTCCCATGGTGGGGCCGTTCCCAGTCACCCCATGGCCCCGTCCCACCACCGTGACCCAGGCCACCCTGTCCCTATGGGGTTGGACACCTTGCTCCCCATCCGGGGGTCATGACCCCTCCCGCAGGGCCAATTGATATGAGCTGGGATCTGGCCCCATTAACTCCAATGGAGAGACGCCCATTGACACCAGCTGGGGATCTGGTCCCATTGACTCCAATGGAGAGACGCCCATTGACACCAGCTGGGGATCTGGCCCCATTGACTCCAATGGAGAGACGCCCATTGACACCAGCTGGGGTCTGGCCCCATTGACTCCAATGGTGAGACGCCCATTGACACCAGCTGGGATCTGGCTGACAGACACGCAGTCCGGAGACGCCCCCCAGCCACCCCCGAATGGAGCCCGGTGACTAGCGGCTGCAGAGCTCTGAGTTCACATGGCCCCTACTGGATGCCTGGTTCCCCAGGAAGCCTTCACGGAAGATCTCATCTGCCCAGGCCTGCAGCTCACAGTCGGCCAGGATGTGGGCGTCGCTGCGGTAATAGTGTCTGGTGATGCCGGAGACGAAGCTGGGAAGAGCAGAGATGTGTCAGCCTGGATGGGTCAATACCCCCCGAGTCTGCAATCAGCCCCACCCCAGGAGCTGGGCCACATCTGGAGATCACCCCACGGCCCGGACGCACCCGCCGCCTTTGGGCATTTCTCAGTAAAACCCTTTTGCACCCACAAATGTCACAGCTGAACCACGTGTCAGGGAGGGACAGCTTCAACGGATTTCCCGACTTGGAAAATTTGCGGGGGAGGCCCAAAAGCCGTGGGAATTCCCCCCCACCCCCACTGCTGGATTTTCTCCTTCCATGTCTGCCCCCGCCGCCCCGCTCTGGTCCTTACCTCTCGATGGCCGACCAGATCTTGAGTCCGTCGTCCCGGTAGAAGTAGTTGGCGATGGAGCCGACCCCGCGGGCCTCTACATCGTCCGGGATGCACAGGGAGTCGTAGGTCAGGCATTTCATGGCCTTGGCTATCAGTGTGCTGACCCCTTTGTGTCCCATGCTCACGCCCTGGGAAAGGGACCATGGACGACGCCTTAAACAGACCTGCGAGCAGGAGGGGGCTGCAAGGGGAAACTGTCCCGGACAGGCAGGAGGTTTGCTAGAGATGACGGGAAGAAGCCAAAGGGGGAAGTAGCCCTGGGGAGTGGAGGAAGCTCGGATGGGTGGTAAACCCAGAGGGGCTAGAATAGGACAGAGCCCAGGGAAGTAGCACCCGGGTCTGGGCGTGTTTAGACTGGAGTCATGGAGCAGAGGATTCATGGGCTGGAAGCCGGAATAGACGGTGGATCTGCAGAGTCTTGGACAGAGGATGGCCTGGAATGGCCAAGAGAGACATTGACGGACCCCCCCTTCCCCAGAAGGGGAGAACTAAACTCATCGGGCCGCAGGGCCGAGCCCCAGAGAAGAAGGCTACCTGAGTCCCGGAGGGTGAGATCGAGACAACGGGCTGAGGAGCCGTGGAAAGGGGTATCCGATCAGTGTCAAGCTAATCCCCAGAGGAGCCCCTGCAGTGAGCAGTGAACCCCGTTACACAGCATAAGGTGCCACACAATACAGGCCCGGGGGAGGGGGGCTGTGAGCCAAGCAGGAAGTGGGGTCCAGTGGTTAGAGCAGGGGGAGCTGGGAGCCAGGACTCCTGGGTTCTCTCCCCGGCTCTGGGAGGGGAGTGGGGTGTTATGCCCCTCACCGTGGTGTAGGCCAGAGACCTGATCAAACCCCCCACCCATATTAAACCAGCCTGGGGTGAAACTCAGCACCCCAACCCACCTCAGGAATGTCCCTAAGGAGAGTTATAAGCACCCAGGTTGTAAAGACCCTGGGAAATTAGAAGGATACAGAAAGAGACTCAACAAATGGGAAGCTAAGCTCTGACCTGCGTTTTATGCTGACCATCTGCACCAACAGAGAAGGTCACAACTCAGTGACAATTTGGGCATGAAAGATCAAATGTCTGCGGAGGCAGGAGCTAGTTTGACCAATATCATGTACATGAAAACCAGGGCTCTTGGGGAACCGTTTTCCGGACTTCAGGGCAACATCAAGCTGCTGGAACTCTGACTCCTCTGCACGACCGGGCATGGCCGGGAAGCCCCAGATGAATGACTCCTGACCGGCCGCCGGGTGAAACTTGGCTGGATACAGGGAGTGGTGAGCATAAGGGCTTTGCTTGGTATACGTATTCGGTGTGTGTTGCTAATAAATAGATGTGTGTAAGGCTCTTTCGCTAGGAAAAGGGTCCGCAGGCCCGTAGAGCCCTGAGCCCCGAGGGAAAGGGCGGGTACTTAAATTGACTAGGTTTCTTCCAGAGCCCTCGGTGGGGTGTAGGCGGGGTGCCCTGAATTGAGCAGGTAGCAAGTGGCGTCATCTTACCCTGTCAAAAATCCCTTCCCGTTTGAGTAGCAGGTTCCTGGCCAGGATGTTGATGTGCAGCGTGTAGCGGGTGTGGGGCATCAGCAGCTGGGGGGAGGAAAAGACACGGGGGGGGGAGGATAAGCAGACAGCCATGACCCCCACACACACACACATCGCTGCAGATGCCCCAGGGCCAGAGACCAGGCACCTTCTGCTAAACCAGTGGTGGCTCCTTTTCCAGGGAAACACAACCTAGATGGAGCTACTATAAGGTGGGTGCACAACTGGTTGGAAAACCGTTCCCAGAGAGTAGTTATCAGCGGTTCACAGTCGTGCTGCAAGGGCATAACGAGCGGGGTCCTGCAGGGATCGGTTCTGGGTCCGGTTCTGTTCAATATCTTCATCCATGATTTAGATAATGGCATAGAGAGTACACTTAAAGTTTGTGAATGATACCAAGCTGGGAGGGGTTGCAAGTGCTTTGGAGGATAGGATTAAAATTCAAAATGCTCTGGCCAAACTGGAGAAATGGTCTGAAGTAAATAGGATGAAATTCAATAAGGACAAAAGCAAAGTAGTCCACTTAGGAAGGAACTATCAGTTGCACACATACAAAATGGGAAATGATTGTCTAGGAAGGAATACTGTAGAAAGGGATCTGGGGGTCATAGTGGACCACAAGCTAAATATGAGTCAACAGTGTAGAACTCTTGCAAAAAAAGCAAACATCATTCTGGGATGTATTAGCAGGAGCGTTGTACGCAAGACACAAGAAGTAATTCTTCCGCTCTACTCCGCACTGATTAGGCCTCAACTGGAGTATTGTGTCCAGTTCTGGGCACCACATTTCAGGAATGATGTGGACAAACCGGAGAAAGTCCAGAGAAGAGTAACAAAAATGATGAAAGGTCTAGAAAACATGACCTATGAGGGAAGATTGAAAAAATTGGGTTTGTTTAGTGTGGAAAAGAGAAGACTGAGAGGGGACGATCACAGTTTTGAAGTACATGAAAGGTTTTTACAAGGAGGAGGGAGAAAAATTGTTCTTCTTAACCTCCGAGGACAGGACAAGAAGCAATGGGCTTAAATTGCAGCAAGGGAGGTTTAGGTTGGACAATAGGAAAAAATTCCTAAGTGTCAGGGTGGTTAAGCGCTGGAATAAATTGCCTAGGGAGGTTGTGGAATCTCCATCATTGGAGATTTTTAAGAGCAGGTTGGACAAACACCTGTCAGGGATGGTCTAGAGAATACTTAGTCCTGCCATGAGTGCAGGGGACCGGACTAGATGACCTCTCAAGGTCCCTTCCAGTTCTATGATTCTATGAAACGCTGGGCTGCGGGGCCCATCTGGCCTAACCACATACACCCATATGCACATCTGGGCACATCCGCTATGCACGGACACATCTGGGCACAGCTGGCCCCCAGGGCGCCTGTTGGCCCTGCCCCCTCTGGGGGGGTGGCTCGGCCCCTCTCTCACCTTGAAGATGGGCAGCTGGCGCAGGGTGGCCAGGGCGAAGGCCTCGTTGATCAGGTGGGTGAGCAGCAGGTGGCTGACAGCCTTGAGCATCAGGAAATCGGCATTGCGCACCCAGGTCTTGGCCAGGATCCAGTCCCATTCGGAGTCGCTGGGCAGGAAGATGGGGCTGGTGGGGCCTGGGCACTGGCTGAGCTGGGGGGGGAGGGGGGAGAGACACAGGAGGGCTGGGGGGCGGGTTGGCACAGGCCGGGGGTGTGAATCCTGCTGCTTCCCCTGGGGAACCCAGGGGCTGGGACCCGGCTGCCAGGATGAAGGGACATGACGGTGCAGCAAATCCGTTGTTAGGAAGAGGAGACATACAGAGCTGGGGTGTGCATACACACAACTGGGCACACACACACAGTTTGGGTGTGCATACTCACAACCGGGCACATTCACACAGCTGGGGTGTGCAACTATACACAACTGGGGTGTGCATACCCTACCCCTAACCCTACTCTATACCCTACCACTAATCGTGTTCTTTACCCTAATCTTAATTCCTTACCCCAACCCTACTCTATACCCCAACCCCTAACCCTACTCTATACCCTAACCCCTTACCCCAACCCTACTCTATACCCTAACCCTAACCCCTTACCCCTAAACCTACTCTATACCCTTGTGACGTTGCACCCATAATGCTTTATAGAAATATGCTTATGAATATAAATATGACATAACTGGAATATGTTTTATGCTACATATGCCATGTAACATATCTTTGTGAAGGTTATGTTCTGCTGAATGTATCCATCCTATTCGTATGCATGTATCATTTTTATATCTGAAGTTATGAGCATTGTCTCTATGCTTGTATTTAAATATTTGCTGGAGAAAGCACCTAAGGCAGATTTGGTCAACATAGTTTGAAAGGATTATTCAAGTAAATGGGAGTACTTGGCTAACAATGGAATTTGATAGATGCCAATCCACATCTGAGCTTTCCTGGGAACGTTCGGTCTAACATATGGGCAATGGCATTGGCCTGTAAAGAACTGAGTCATGCATGGATATGTGACATACCCATGTGACTCCAAAACTCCATCTTGTAACTGTGATCATAGAATCAGAGAACATCAGGGTTGGAAGGGACCTCAGGAGGTCATCTAGTTCAACCCTCTGCTCAAAGCAGGACCACCCCAACTAAATCATCCCAGCCAGGGCTTTGTCAAGCCTGACCTTAAAAACCTGTGATTCTACACAGGGTAAGAGAGGCATTTCCATCCACAAGAGAGAGACTATATAAGCCCCTAAAAAACAACAAGACTAATAATTAATAATGATAATCATTGACACCTCATCTATTATTGGGAGTGGACTACAACCACCCTGATCGAATTGGCCCTGGGGGGGCGGGTTGGCGCAGGCCGGGGTGTGAATCTTGCTGCTTCCCCTGGGGAACCCAGGGGCTGGGACCCGGCTGCCAGAATGAGGGGACATGACGGTAAAAATCACTTTTTACTTATTAATTAACCCAGAGCAAGTATTAATACCTGGGGAAGCAAACAGCTGTGCATCTCTCTCTATCAGTGTTATAGAGGGTGAACATTTTGTGAGTTTACCCTGTGTAACCCCCAAATAGATTACCAAGATTCCTGGGGCTCTGTCTGCTGGCAGCTCAGGGAGAGGTGCACTGTCCCTGTTAGTCTTTAAGGTGCCACCAGACTCCTTGTTGTTTTGGTAGGGAGCGGGAGCCAAGGCAAACTCAGAGTCCGCCTGGCAACCAATAGGGAGTGAGATGCCCCTCCCAGGGAGTTCGGGAAAGGGGAGAAACCACTTTGGAGTCAGTCTGGAGCCAGCCAGGGCAAGGGCAGGACTGGCTTTGTGGGGAGCTGGTGAGTCCCAGGCCTGCATGCAGGGTTCCCCATGAGAACTGGCCTCTACGGACCTGAAATAATAAAATTTTATTTATTTATTTAAAGCCAGATCCCTCAGCTGGGCTTTTCCCTTCTCCACTGATGACTCCCAGTTTGTAGAGTTTTGTTGGGAAACTTCCCCAACCAGGCTGAGTTTGCCCTCCGGCTCCCTAGGTGAGACCAGTCACCACATGGTCAGCTCTGCTCTGTCTGCTAGTCCAGGCTGCTGCCTGCTGTGTGTGTGTCTGGATGCTGGGCTAGGAGATGACAGTTTGGATCTTAATACAGTTGTGTAACCTGCACCTTGAGCCCTGCACCCCTTTGTGGTGAGGGGAAATCCTGGGACTGAAGCAGCCTGATTCCTGCCTGAGGAGGATCCCTGCCAGCAGAGATCAGCCCCTCTGCAGTGACCGAGGAGTACAGAGTCATCTCTGAACCTGAGGATCATTCATAGATTTTGTGAGTGCTCCATCTTTTAGTTAGTCAGTCAGGGAATTTGTTTTGGGGACCCCCTACTCCCTGAACTGTGTCCTCAAGCCAGGGAGTGAGGGTTTGGAGATTTTACAACCTGCTGCATATTAAACCTATGGAGGGATTTACCACCTTCTCCCACTTGTGAGTCCATTGGGCTGTAACCCAGTCAGCCACACAGCTAAACCACTGCAGAGAAGAACTTTGTGGTCATAGGTCATCAAGGGCCCCAACAAAGTACGCGTACCAACGGGACACTAATCTTACATTCACTACATCAAGTCACATAACTGGGGAAAGTCACAGGTATTAGCAGCATGGGCACTGGTGACCCTAATAACAGTGTTTTACCCTGTGTGACAGACCCAGACCAGTGGGGTACAGGAGTCTGGTAGAGGGCAAATATACTGGTCACTGGATGAGTAGTTTTCTGTTCCCTGAGTGACCAGAGAAGGGGCTGCACTAGAGTAATCAGGAACCTGCTAGAACCAGTTAAGGCAGGCAGGCTAATTAGGACACCTGGAGCCAATTAAGAAGCTGCTAGAATCAATTAAGGCAGGCTAATCAGGGCACCTGGGTTTTAAAAGGAGCTCACTTCAGTTTGTGGCGTGAGTGTGAGGAGCTGGGAGCAAGAAGCTGAGAGTGAGAAGGTGTGCTGCTGGAGGACGGAGGAGCACAAGCGTTATCAGACACCAGGAGGAAGGTGTTTGGAGGAGGCCATGGGGAAGTAGCCCAGGGAGTTGTAGCTGTCATGCAGCTGTTACAGGAGGCACTATAGACAGCTGCAGTCCACACGGCCCTGGGCTGGAACCCGGAGTAGAGGGCGGGGCCGGGTTCCCCCAAATCTCCCAATTGACCTGGACTGTGTGTTTTTCCAGAGGGGAAGGTCTCTGGGCTGTTCCCCAACCCACATGGTGAATCTCTGAGGCAAGAAAATCTACCAATAAGCGCAGGACCCACCAAGATAGAGGAGGAACTTTGTCACACCTGTTATGTTATATTTGTCTCCTGTTTAATATAGTTATTGTGTTAAATATATTGCATGTGTTTGTGTTATTTCTTGGAAGTCTCCAACTATCTGGCAAATAAGTGGGGGTTATCCTGTGGTTAGAATTTCCCTCCCAAGCTGCCCTGGTGACCATGCCAGGAAGGAGCGAGGGAGGTGGAGGCACCGCCAAATAAATTCATAAAAAAAAAATAAAAAAGATACACTCTGCTGAGTGGGTGGTGGGATCCAGAAGAACCCAGACCTGTCCATCAAAACCTGTAAGCAGATTGGCATTAAAGAAGGTAACTGGGTGGAGAGGGGGCGCTACACCTGCATAAGCTTTATACAGAGTAAAACTGATTTATTTGGGGTTTGGATCCCATTGGGAACTGGGTGTTGGAGACAGGAGCACTTCTTAAACTGTTTTCAATTAAGCCTGCAGCTTTGGGGGACATGGTTCAGACCTGGGTCTATGTTTGTAGCAGGCTGGTGTGTCTGGCACAACCAGGCAGGGTTCTGGAGTCCCAAGCTGGCAGGGAAAACAGGCTCAGAGGTAGTCCCAGCACATCAGGTGGCAGTCCCAAGGGGGTTTCTGTGACTCAACCCATCACACCCCTAACCCTACTCTATATCCTACCCCTAACCTTATTCTAAACCCTAACCCCTAATCCTACTCTATACCCTAACTCTACTTTATACGCTGATCCTAATTCCTTACCCCAACCCTCCTCTAAACCCTAACCCCTTACCCTACTCTGTACTCTTACCCTAACCTTACCTGGCCCCGCTGTGAAAGGGACAGACAGTGCAGGCATCTGCATCGGGATTCAGCTCCGGGGACAAAGGGCTGGAGTTCAGAGCCAGGTGCCAGAGAGTCTGCAGAGACCCACTCGCTGCCAGCGGAGATGGGGGTGGCCCAGAGTAGTGTCTGTCGGGAGTGCTGGGAGCGAGGACTCCTGGGTTCTCTCCCCAGCTCTGGGAGGGCAGTGGGGTCTAGTGTGTTAGAGCAGGGGGTGTTGGGAGCCAGGACTCCTGGGTTCTCTCCCCGGCTCTGGGAGGGGAGTGGGGGCTGTTGGTTAGAGTGGGGGGGCAGGAGCCAGGACTCCTGGGTTCTCTCCCTGGGCCAGTCCCTTAGATGGCAATGCCCAGCCCTGGGACTGTGTAGGGGTGGGGGCTGCGTGGGGGTCCCACTGGGCAGCGTGTGGGGGGTGCCAGGGGCTGTTACCTGGATGGCCACAGGGACAAGCTCCCCAGAGGGCTGCAGGTGCAGCAGGCAGAGGGGCGCAGCGATGTACTGCTGGTAGCCGTTGATCGTGTTGGCCGGGACGCCCTCCAGGATTTTATAGTCAGCGAGGAAGATGTTCCCCTTCTGCAAGGCACAGTGAGAGCACAGCAGAGTGCGGGGACTGTTGGGGGCCAGCGCAACTGGGGGTGCAAAGCAGGGACCCCAGAGTATGGGGGAAAGCCAAGATGCCAGCGCTGTGAGCTTCCCCGCAGCAGTGCCCTGGGACTAGCCCCTGGAGCTGAGTGGCTAGTGCGAGCGCATCCACTGGCTCTGGAGTTGGGCCAGGTGGACACCTCTGACCCGGGGCTGCTCGTGCCCGGAGCTATGCTGGGGAGGGAGCTGGAGCGAGAGCTCAGACCATCACCGAGTCCCCCCGGGGTGTCCCTGGCACCCCACTTACCTCCAGCTCGTCCTGCAGGCTGGTGCTCTCCCCCAGGGAGGAGGCCACCATGGCCGATGTGACAGGGAAGTTGCAGGGGAGCTCCGTGCAGCGCCTGATCACCACCGGGTGGACCCTGTTCAGGAACTGGTACCCAAAGAACGTGTCCTCTCGCCAGTGTGCCCGCACGTACCCTAGGGGGACATGGGCAGGGCAGCCGTGGGGTTAACGCACCGGGCCGGGACTCAGGGGAGCTGGGTTCGAGTCCTACCCTGGGTGCCCGGGGCAGCTTTCGGTGTCTCTCAGAGCCACGACCTCCCCCTGCTGGAGAATGGGGCTAATGGTCCAGCATGAGGATTTCACCCTCAGCAAGTTTGCAGATGACACTAAACTGGGAGGAGTGGTAGATACACTGGAGGGTAGAGATAGGATACAGAGGGACCTAGACAAATTAGAGAATTGGGCCAAAAGAAATGTGGTGAGGTTCAGCAAGGACAACTGCAGAGCATAGGCACCTGGAGAACCCATGGGGGGAAATTGGTGGGTGCTCTGCACCCACCGGCAGCTCCCTGCCTCCGCCTCTTCTCCTGAGTGCACTGCGTGCCCGCTTTCCCCCACAATTCCTAGTGCTTGCGCCACGAAACAGCTGTTTCGCGGTGGCAAGTACTGGTAGGGAGGGGGAAGAGGCGGGGCCGGGGTGAGGATTTGGGGAGGGGTCCAATAGGAGCAGGGAGGGGGGAGAATTGGGGCAGGGCAGGGGTGGAGTCAGGGTGGGGCCAGGGGCGGGGAGCGAGCAGCCACCGGTGCCGGGAAAAGTTGGTGCCTGTGATGCAGAGTCCTGCTCTTAGGACGGAAGAATCCCATGCACCGCTACAGACTAGGGACCGAAAGGCTAGGCAGCAGTTCTGCAGAAAAGGACCTGGGGTTTACAGTGGACGAGAAGCTGGATATGAGTCAGCAGTGTGCCCCTGTTGCGAAGAAGACTAATGGCATTTTGGGCTGTATAAGTAGGGGCATTGCCAGCAGATCCAGGGACGTGATCATTCCCCTCTATTCGACATTGGTGAGGCCTCATCTGGAGAATTGTGCCCACACTACAAGAAGGATGTGGAAAAATTGGAAAGAGTCCAGCGGAGGGCAACAAAAATAATTAGGGGACTGGAGCACATGACTTATGAGGAGAGGCTGAGGGAACTGCGATTGTTTAGTCTGCAGAAAAGAATGAGGGGGGATTTGATAGCTGCTTTCAACTACTTAAAGGGGGGTTCTAAAGAGGATGGATCTCGGTGGTACCATATGACAGAACAAGGAGTAATGGTCTCAAGATGCAGTGGGGGAGATCTAGTTTGGATATTAGGAAAAACTATTTCACTAGGAGGGTGGTGAAGCACTGGAATGGGTTCCCTAAGGAGGTGGTGGAATCTCCATCCTTAGAGATTTTTAAGGCCCAGCTTGACAAAGCCCTGGCTGGGATGATTTAGTTGGGGGTTGGTCCTGCTTTGAGCAGGGGGTTGGACTAGAAACCTCCTGAGGTCTCTTCCAACCCTGATATTCCATGATTCTAATCTCGGTGGGGGTCTGGGCAGGGGGTCTCTGAGGGTGGTCGGGGGTTCTGGGCAGCACCTGACACAAGCAGCACTGGGGTCTCTAGTCGCTTGGGTCACACCTGTCCCAATCACCCTGCTCTGTGCATGGGGGCTCCGGTGGGCCCAGGTGAGCGGGGCTCAGGGTCGGGGGGTCACCCACCTGTGATCGGGGTCTTGTTGAAGCAGAAAACCTTGTTGATGTCGGCCAGCTTTGCCCAGGAGTTGGTGCAGCTCAGGAAACCCTTCAGCTGCAGCTCCACCTGCCTGGGGGGGCAGGGCGAGCGTGTGAGAGCCCTGGGGGGGGGGGGCTTGGGATGAGGATAGGGCCCCCCAGAGATGCACTGGTGGCAAAGTGGAGCCACGCTTGGGGAAGCTTCCCCCTGTTGGAGCGATGGGCTCAGGCTCTCGGCAGACTCAGGCAGCATGGCTGCATTGGTTACACCTGGGTTTTCAAGCTCCTCTCCCCTACTACAAGGACTAGAGGGAGTAATATGGGATGAGGGGGTGTATGGGGATGGATAGATAGACAGATAGATTGATGGGTGGGGATGGAGAGAGAGAGAGAGAGAGAATGGATGTGTATGGGAATAGATAGAGTTCGGGTATAGAGCAGGGTTAGGGGTTAGTCCCTAGGGCTGGGCCTTGGGGGCTGGGCTGCACACACGCTTCCCTCCCACACCGCAGGAACATGGATGTCTTGGGGAAGGGTCAGAGCTAAGGTTACAGAAAGGCACTAGTCTACATGGTTAGGGCTAGGGAAGGACTATAGGGCACAGGTAGAGTGAGAGAAAGGGTATGGGATATGGGTTAGGGTAGGATTAGGGAAAGGAGATAGTACAGGGTTAGGGTTGGGGCTAGGGTTTGGGTTTAGTCTCTGGGAATGACCTGGGCTGTGGGGGCCAGCAGTCACACATTGACCCCGTGCTAGAGGAAGGGGGAGGTCTTGATGAAGGGTCAGGGTTACTGTGTAGGGTTGTGTATAGGGTTAGGGTTCGTGTATAGAGTTGTGTATAGGGTTACTGTATATGGCTGTGTGGAAGGTTCGTGCCGGGGCTCAAGCCTCCTGGGCAGGAGGGGAGCCACACCGACTCACTACTGGTGGAATAAACAACCAGTTAGTCCAGGGGCTCAGGCCCTCAGGCAGAGGCTGAGCAAACAAACAGTTAGGGAGCTCAGGCCCTTAGGTGCAGGGGCTGAGCAACAATACCCAGTTCAGGGGCTCAGGCCCTTTGGTGCAGGGGCTGAGCTACAAACAGCTAGTTCAGGGCTCAGGCCCTCAGGCAGGGGCTGAGCAACAGTAACAGTTCAGGGAGCTCAGGCCCTTCGGTGCAGGGGCTGAGCAACAATATACCAGTTGGGGTAAGCCCAGGCTCCTACACCTGAGCGTTGGGTGAGGGGGAAGCCTGCCACCCACGTGCAGGGGTGGCAGGGGGGGACGCAGGCCCACCCACTCCACTGCGTCCCAGCCCGGGGCCCTAGTAGCGGCTGCTGCCGCTGCGAGTCAGTGGGGTATCCTGACTGAAACACACTGACATCGGCTCACATGTGTCTGCAGCCTGACCGGGGTCGGCTACCCCCGGGCTACTTCCAAGTCCCCCCTCAGGGCCTACCTCGTCCGTGGCCCCGGGTCCAGGCCAGTCCACTAGCATGGGCTCCTCTCGGCCGGGGCTTGGCGGCAGGTCCGGCAGCTCCTCGGGGAAGTCCGGGTAGTTGGGCTCGGGCGGCTCCTCCGGGTAACAGCAGGGGCGGAGGGGCTCTGGTGGCGTCTCGCCTTCGCAGTGGGTGCGGGAGAGTCCCAACGGCTCCTCCCAATACCGGGAGCGGGAGGGCTCTGGCGGCTCCTCCTCGTAGTGGGCCCGGGGCAGCTCCAGCCAGTTAGGGCAACGGCCTCCGGCCGCGAGCTCCCGGCCGTATGTCTGCTCCCTGCGGTGGCTGGGCTCTCACTGAGTTCTGGCGGTCAGCTTTTATACTTCCTGTCCCGCCCCTTGACTTCCGGGGGGCGGGAATAGGCGTCGGTGACTCTGCCCACTTGGGCATCTGTACGGGCTCTCCCTCTCCTGGGCAGGAGGGGAGCTACACGGACTCACTACAGGCTGTGTCTAGGTTATGATTAGTGTATATGGTTAGGGTTACTGTGTAGAGTTGTGTATAGGGTTAGGGTTAGTGTATAGCAGGGGTCGGCAACCTCTGAGAAGTGGTATGCCAAGTCTTCATTAATTTAAGGTTTCGTGTGCCAGTAAAAGGTTTTGCGTGCCAGACCAGCAGTGTGGGCGGCAGATGGAACCCCAGACCAGCAGTGGGATGAGCTGTTCAGCCCCCTGCCGGTCTGGGGTTCCGTCCGCCGGACCCGCTCAGCCCCCTGCCGGTCTGGGGTCCCGTCCGTCGGCCCCTGCCAGCCGGGGTCCCGGCCACCGGCCCTGCTCAACCCGCTGCCGGCCAGGTTCCGTCCATCGAGGCCGGCAGCAGGCTGAGCGGGACCGGCGGTGGGGACCCCAGCTGGCAAGGGGCGGGTGACCGGGACCCCAGACCGGGAGCAGGCTGAGTGGCTCATCCCGCTGCTGGTCTGGGGTTCCGTAATCCAGGCCGGCAGTGGGCTGAGCGGGGCTGGCGGCCGGGACCCTGGCTAGCAGCAGCGTGCCACTAAAAATCAGCCCGCATGCCGCCTTTGACACGCGTGCCGCAGGTTGCCGACCCCTGGTGTATAGGGTTAATGTACAGGGTTAGGGTTAATGTACAGGGTTAGGGTTACTGTATAGGGTTGTGTACATGGTTAGGGTTACTGTACAGGGTTAGGGGTAGTTTCTAGGGACAGGCCTAGGGGCAGGCGCTGGGAACAGGTCTGGCCATGGGGAAGCAGCACTCACGCGTTCACCCCACGCAGCAGGACGTTGGTGCTCTTGGTGAAGGAGTACATGCTGTTACAGTCCAGCTCAATGATGTTGTCCACATTTAGGCATCGGGGCGCCCCGGGGGCAAACTCCTTCCACCTGAGCAGGGAGAGACTGCGGTGGACTTTAGCCCTGGCCTGCCAACCCAACAATCCCTCAGCCGCAGTCCTGGGCCTACCTGTCCTGCGGTTCCTACCACCCCTCCATCCCTGGGACCCCACGCAGGCCTGAGCCCAGGGAGCTCCCTCAACCCCCACCGGGGTCTCACTCAACCCCCACCGGGGTCTCACTCACCCATAGCACTCATGACAGTGCTTCAGCTCAGCCTGCCGCTGCTCCAGCAGCAATGGGGAATCAGCATCACCGCAAACCATCTGGCCTGGGCAAGAGACAGAGAGAGATAGGGGTGTGTGGGGATAGATAGATTAGATAGATGGGTGTGTACGGGGATGGATAGACAGAGGGGTGTGTATAGGGATACCTAGCTCGCTGGCACTAGGCCGGCCCCCATGCCCTGCCCCCAGCCCACAGCCCCCTACCTTTGCCCTCCCGCAGCTCCAGTATGCGGTAGCCCTCGACCCACTGGTAGCAGGGGAAATGGTAGCGCTGGCCTTGGGAGGAGACGACCTCCACGAAGCTGCAGTACCAGTTGTCGGTGGGGTAGAAGGAATAGGGCTCCTTGTGGAGCCGCACCAGGATGATGTCCCCCAGCCAGCGCCCGCAGCACAGCTTGAACTCCTCCACCTGCAGCGAGGGGGGTGGGGGGGTGGGAACCGGAGTGTGAGGGTGTGACTCAGGGATTAATCCAGCAACTCAGGGGTTAACCATCAGCCTCTTTCTCCCCCCCCCCCAAAATAAAATACTTGTTGGCCTCCTGTGCCCCCATTGTGTGGAAGTCTCCAAGGAAACACAGATCAGCCAGGTCACTATTGCAACTACTGTTCTACTCACCACCTGCCTTTCGTTAGCCTGGAGGTAGAGGCCAAGGTTTACCGGTTTGGCTGCAGCTTCAGGTACCTCTGCATAGCCTAGCAGTGTATAGGAGAAGGGCACAATCCCTTTAAAGCCTTTGTGAGCCCTCTAGCGGTGCCCACCATGTTTTAGAAGCTGCCAGAAACAGGTCAGAGCAGCCGTGTGCATCTAAGCTTGTCCTCAGTTAAAGCGGAGGCTAATGTTCTGCCCCCTGCCCATCCAAGCCCTCTACCATGGGCTCAGCCCGCCCCATCCATGCCTTGCAGTTTAATGAGAGGCGCACCCCATGTGATATTGCACTCCATATGTTTTACAAAAATATATTTATAAGTGTGGATATGATGTAACTGGAATATGCTTTACGGAAAAGGTCTCTTGTAGGGTATCATTACAAAGCTTATAATCTACTGAGTGTGGTCATCCTATTTGTATGAATGTATCATTCCTGTATCTGAAACTAGGAATATGAAATTTAACTCTGAGGTCCTATTGTAATTATGCAAAGTGTGGGCCATTAATGGTGGTTTGGAATCTTGATGGCTCCTATTGACTAGGACAATTGATTGTAAATGGCTCTGTTTACTCATAAGCCTTCCTGTATAGTGTATGCCAGCAAGTGGGTAATGAAGTCTTACAATGACATGTGATCATGTTCTTTTCCATTTAGAAGGAGGGGTGGGGACCCAGAGAGACAAAGGTTTCCTGCCTTGGGCCAAAGCTATAAAAGGGGGTGGAAGAGAACAAAGGGGGGCCAGTCATGAGAAATTCTCGAGTTACCACCTGAACTGGAACAAACAAGGGCTGTACCAGGGGAAAGGATTGGGCCCAGACTAGGAAGGAGTCTAGTCTGTGAAAGAAGCTTATTGGAACATCTCCGAGGGTGAGATTTACCTGTATTCAGTTTCTTTTAATGTATTAGGATTAGACTTGTGTGTTTTGTTTTGTTTTATTTTACTGGGTAACTTACTTTGTTCTGTCTGTTATTACTTGAAACCACTTAAATCCTCCTTTTTATACTTAATAAAATCACTTTCGTTTATTAATTAACCCAGAGTAAGTAATTAATATCTGGGGGAGCAAACAGCTGTGCATATCTCTCTATCAGTGTTATAGAGGGCGGACAATTTATGAGTTTACACTGCATAAGCTTTATACAGAGTAAAGCGGATTTATTTGGGGTTTGGATCCCATTGGGAGCTAGATGTCTGGGTGCTGGAGACAGGAGCACTTGCTGAGTTGTTTTCAGTTAAGTCTGCAGCTTTTGGGGTCATGGTTCAGACCTGGATCTGTGTTTGCCCCAGGCTAGCGTGTCTGGCTCAACAAGGCAGGGTTCTGGAGTCCCAAGCTGGCAGGGAAAACGGGCTCAGAGGTAATTTCAGCACGTCAGGTGACAGTCTCATGGGGGTCTCTGTGGAAAAAACCCATCACACCCCACTCCCCAGGGCTCCACCAGGGCCCCAGTATTGAACTGCTAGGTCCTCGGGTGCCCTCCTGTGCTGCTGCCACGCTCTCTGTGGGTACCCGGACTACATAAAGACCCCAAGAGCCAGAGGAAGCTGGCTGAGCGACAGACTGATGCCTGTTGCCTCACCAAGCCCTGCCCCACAGCTTCGCCTGGTCCTGCCCCACTGCCTCACCTGATCTCCACCCAACTTGCTGACCCAGCCCCATGCACCAGATCTTGAGGCCCTCCATGAAAACTCCAAGCATCACCCCGGATGTCTCCAATACTGATCGACCTCCCAGCTGTCCGACCCCTTGAGTCTTGCTCTAGACTGGCGCCCCTTAGCCTACCCTGTTCCCCAGTCCCTGCGAACTGTTCTCCTGTGATCTCCAGCCCCTGGCGCTGGCTACTTACCAAAACACCAGGCCTGCCATCCCAAAGGAGCAGCAGCTCGGGGCTGGGGATTGGTCCTGCTTTGAGCAGGGGGTTGGACTAGATGACCTCCTGAGGTCCCTTCCAACCCTGATATTCTATGATTCTATTCTATGATTCTATGATTAACACCGCTGCAGTGATATCTAGTACCTAGTGAAAAGGAGACGGAGTTCATTTTCCGAGTAGATGCAGATCGTGAGTCAGGGTGTTGGCCTCTAGGCCCTACCGTGAAACATATCAATGCCAGTTTGGCAGCTTCTCTTCTGACTCCACAAAGGAATACAGCAACTTCTGCACTTGGATGGGTCCAATGGGCCACCGCTCACCACGTTGCAGAAAGCCGCTCGGTTTGAGTGAGAGAACCTGCAGAGAAACATTTTGCAATAACCTTCCCACGCGTGAGGCATCTCCCTCGCTCAATGCACTTGGGGACTGGCTGGGGACCAGGAACCACAGGGCAGACAACCCTTGTTTATTGCAATAGGTGGAAATCTGGATGATATTACAATGATTTATTGAATTATTTAATCCCTCTGCTCAACCCTGCTAAGGTCTTCCAATTAGTAGCAGTGAATCCTGGGATGAATGTAAAGCCCTTTAATCCGATTACATTTTTGCTGCTTTTGTTCAATGTCCCGTTATTTATTTATCTATCATTATTATACCTCTACCCCGATATAACACGACCCAATATAACACAAATTCAGATATAACGTGGTAAATCAGTGCTCCGGGGGGGCAGGGCTGCGCACTCTGGCGGATCAAAGCAAGTTCGATATAATGCGGTTTCACCTATCACGCGGTAAGATTTTTTGGCTCCCAAGGACAGCATTATATCGGGATAGAGGTGTATTAATAATATTAATATAAGAGGTCACATTTTCCAGATTTGTTCTGCCCCACAAATGGAAGAAAATGGAGGGTTTTTTTAAAACAAAAAACAAAACCTAGATTCTCACAGATTCACACGACTCCAGGTGCTTGGGGCTTTAAGATATACCCCAAAGATCACATGATGCACAAAAAAGTCAAGCGAGTTAGCAATGCTGTAGAAATCCCAGCGCTGTTAACTATTTCAGTGCCATCTGCAAGTGTTCACACAAGGTCAGTGTATAGGCTTGTTTGTCAGCCTGAGATAGAATTTGGGGTGTGACTTTTTGATACTCTTATATCTTATACTAATATGTGTAAACAAAAGACAAAGATTAGGGCGTGTACAGTAGGTATATTTGGGCCTGCTAAGGAGGAGGAGGGGGAATGGGGAACAGGGACATAGGCTAGGCTCTGAAGCATCAGAGCTGGGAATGGAGACACGGGGTAAAGGCTCTGCAGGGTCAGAGCTGGATAGGGGGACACTGGGGAACAGACACTGCCGGCGTGTAGAGCGATGGATGTTTGCTTGCAACTAACCCCAATAAACATTGCATTGCCTGCACTTTGGACTTCTGCTCTTCTGCTTTCTGTCTGCATGACAAGAACCAGGGGAGAGGGTGAAGGGAAAGCCCTCTAGCATCTTGGTGCTGTGACTCGGATGCATCACGCTGGACAGGTAAGTAGCAAACAGGTAAGTCTCTCTCGCCAACTGTCCAACTCTCATGATGGTAGTTGCGGGTCCTTGCAAGCCAAGGTAACAGTCTTTTTGGATAAGTGGATACAGAAGAAGCTGTATCTCAGGTCCCATTCCAGGCACAGGGTCAATTTGGGATGAGATTAAGAAGGAAATGGGAGCAGTGTTAGGGGACCCAGAGGGATGAGGGCTGGCTGAAGAGCCCACCCTCCTTGGCAAATGGGTAGCGGACGGAGGCCCGTGCCCATGAGGACAGGATGCCTTCCAGGGAAAGGAGGAACTTAAGTCCACTTGTAAGAGGTTTGAAGTAAAGGCAGCATAATGGGAGGCTGCCAGTAATTTATCTACTCCAGCAAAGGCAACCATGGAGCTGCTTGGAAACAGTTAACTGCAAGGGAGAAGGGCACTCCTGCAATTCACTTGGGGTGCAAACAAAAGCAACAGACACCGGAGGAACAAATTCAGGGTTCGGAGGAGCCAGAATTTTTCACAACCCTGAGCCAGCAAGTTAGAGCGCTTTAACTTGCCAGTGTAGATAAGCCCTGAGACTTAATTCAGTGAAACATTTTATATCTGTCCCCTCAGAAACAAAGAATCCCTTATCACTGTATCTGATTGCATAGTCTCCGAGCAGTTTCCCAAGTTGTCTTATCTGCTGCTGGGATTCTCTGAATTCCCTGAATTTTTAATTGTATTTTTTTCTTCTCATTTTTAGAGCAGATGTTTAGTCTGTTGGATCATCTGACTTCCACTCTGACTGAATTTCTGGCCTAGTTGTTTTGAGTCAATCCACCGTTATTTTGCCTCTCAGTCTAGCCCTTAGTGTTTTTCCGCATGCCATTGTGTACAATTTGATTCTCAAATATTCAATAAAGGCAGGATACTGTCTCCTATAATGTCTTTCTCCATGGAAAAAAATCGATTGTCATTTTTGCAGAAAATTAGAACTGTCATTGTGGGTCAGACCAATAGTCCGCCTAATCTAGTATCCTGTCTTGTGACAGTAGCCAATGTCAGGTGCTTCTAAGGGAATGATCAGACTAGGCAATGACTCAGTGAACCATCCCATTGTCCACTCCCAGCATCTGGCAGTCAAAGGACGGTTTAGGGACATGCAGGGCATAGGCCTGCATCCCTCATTATCTTGGCTAATAGCCAATGTACTTATCCTGAGGGACTGATCTAATTCTTTGTTCAACCCATTCATAGTTTTGCCTTTCAAAATATAATGAACACACACCTACAACCCCAAGATACCTTTACAACCCCAAGAATTCTAAAATCATGAGTTATACACCCTCGAGTCAAGACATTTTAATAAATAAATGATATCTTTTTTTGTGTGTGCCTCTTTGTTCCTGAGCCTGTAGGGTGCAGTAAGGCCAGTTCCAATGCCTTGAGCCTAAACACCTGAATGAATCTTAGTCTACCCTCATACTGTTCCTGTTACTTCTCCCAAACATTTCATAGACCTAAGGCCATATCTACACTTTAAGTGTGGGTTAACTCAAGTTATGTCAACATGGAGTCACTACAGTTACTATCAGAGAGTCCTGTGGCACCTTTAAGACTAACAGAAGTAGTGGAGCATAAGCTTTCGTGGGTGAATACCCACTTCGTCAGACGCATGTGGTGGAAATTTCCAGAGGCAGGTATAAATATGCAGGCAAGAATCAGTCTGGAGATAACGAGGTTAGTTCAATCAGGGAGGGTGAGGTCCTCTGCTAGCAATTGAGGTGTGAACATCAAGGGAGGAGAAACTACTTTTGTAGTTGGCTAGCCATTCACAGTCTTTGTTACTACGATTACTATGTCACTTGTGTGCATGCCTCCTGGACTCCTTGCCTCAGCAGTCAGGGTACTCACCAGAACCACTTGTATAGATTCAGAGTGAGGTGCACCATGAATAGATATCCCACTGTCCACCCACTGTATTTTGGGACGCTTTGGTTTGACAGTGTATGCTGGGTACCAAACAGGTCAGACGGGGTATTTGTGGCCATGGGATCCAACTTCCTATAACGCATTGTTAACCATCCACTAATTTTATATGTATCCCATACATAAACGTATACATAATGTTTACACCTTTTTTCTAAACCCACAAACCTGCCTGGCCCGCCTCACTGTCTGCGATCTCACTCAGAATCATGGAGCTTGCATGGCTCTGCACTATTGTCATGAGCGTTTGCACCCAAAGGTGCATGCTACTTTATTATTTGCAGATCAGCAAACATACATGTGGGGTGTTACATACTCTATATTCTTTACAAAAATATGCTTGATATGGATACGACATAGCTAATATATACTTCATGCAAGATGGCTGATGTGGGGTATCATTGCAAAACGTAAGACCTATTGACTGTATTTATCCAATCTGTATGCATGTAACGTTTGTATCTGAGGCTAGAAATATTGACCATGTCTCTGTATTTCAAATGTGCTCTGTTGGATGAGGTCAGACAATGTTAGTGGCTTATTGGAGGAATGCACAAACACATAAAGATTACCCCAGGAACTGTGTGTAATAGTGCTATACAATGGGGACTACTTGACCAAAATCAGATATCTCTACCCAGTTTGACCCAGGTCACAGCACAAGAGCCTTCCAGAATGTGGGGGGAAGAAAGAAAAGGTGGACAATGACAGCCTACAAGAACAACCGGAAACACCTGAGATACAAAGACTGAACAGTGAGAAGTGATTGTCCCAGCAATCTGGATGATGGGAAGACAGACACTTCAGCTCAGCTCAGCATACTGAGAATGAGAAGGATCTGACATTATCAACCACTGAAGAATAATCCAGGTGTGTCTAATATATCTTGTGTCCCCAGTATGCAGACATAGGCCTTTTTCTCACTGCTAATAAAACTAATGAAAACAACAGAAGACAAGTTAAGTTTTAACAGTGAAGACAAAGGCTAAAGAAAATGTCTCAAATTAAATGAGAGAGCAATGAGGTGACATGTGAATACCACAGTTTTGAGTGTAATTTTTGTGGTGATACCTCTTTGCTCCTTATGTGTGTGTAACAGTGCCAGAAGTGGAAGTCTGTATAAAGCACAATGGTAGATTTTCTTCCTATGAGCTTGCTTTCCAAAGGAATTAAGTATTTCACATACTATTTATAATGCTTTTCACTACTCTCAATGTTTTATGTGCATTCAATTTTTTTTTATTAATAGACTGTATGACCTACTATGCAGTGGAAAGGGACTAACAAAGATTTCTTTTTAAATCAGACTTTCATTAAGGGGTTTTCATGCAATGGCCACGAAATTCCACTTCCAAAATGTTTTTTAAACAGTCCTGAAAAGATAGGAATGTGGGGTTGGGTCTCTCTACTCCAAAAACGTGTTTGTCTAATGGGTATTTTGAGGATGGCGACTAAGCATCTTGTCATACAGCGAAAGTGTCACTTAAGATTTCTTGAGTAATAAACATGTACATAAGGCTGTGACACTGGCCCTAAACCATGGTGGATTTAATTTAAATCACTAGTCAGGAAGACTCGATTTAATCATGGGTTTTCTAGATAAAAGTGCATTCTTGTTGGTTGTTATAGCCTTAATACATATTCTTCACAACTCAGAGTTAGATATAAGTTTCATTTCTAGAAGGTACACA